TTCAGCTGAATGCATGTCATTACTCAAAAGGCTTGTAGTTACAGTTTGGGGCCCATTTGCATTGGTTCATAGACAAACCCAGATCGTTTATAATACAGAATAGGAATAAGAGCCAGTCCATTAAACATGCTGATTCATTTGCTCTCATTTGCATCCCAGCCATGAATGACCTGGTGCAGTCCATGGTCCTAGCAGGCGGACAGTGGACAGGTAGTACTGAAAATTTGGAGGTCCCTGATGATATTTCAACGGGTAAAAGGAGAAAAGAATTGGGAGCTATGGCCTTCTCCACTACAGCCATCAACTTTTCAACTGTCAACTCTTCTGCAGCCTTCCGATCCAAGCAGTTGGTTAATAATAAAGGTATAGGCCGTCTGCTATTTGCACTGTGCAGTGTAACTGTTGGCAACAGAAAATTTTAATTTGACTTACCTGTGTACTTTTTTTTTCTTCAAACACCTTGAAATAATCAAGCCATAATCTAGATTTGATTTGGGAAAAATTTCAAGATATTTCAAACTTTTAAGATAGTATATAAATAATCAGATCTTTCATAGCCCCTCCTCTTATAATAAATAGCTAATGAACTTACAGGAAGAAAACCAGACAGAGTAGAAAAGAGGAGGGAGTGATTTGTTTCTTTTTTTGTTTGTTTGTTTTGTTTTTGTTTTTCGAGACAGGGTTTCTCTGTATTGCTCTGGAGGCTGTCCTGGAACTAGCTCTTGTAGACCAGGCTGGCTCGAAATCACAGAGATCCACCTGCCTCTGCCTCCCAAGTGCTGGGATTAAAGGCGTGCGCCACAAATGCCCAGCAGTATGTTTCTTTCTTAAAGCCCACAAGCAATACAACTTAAGAGAGTCACATAGAACCACCCACGTTTTTGCTTTGCTTTGCAGGGTCTCGGGGAGACTGTTTCATTGCTCCTAGTATGTTCTTAACAAGTCAGTTATCATCAGAGCTACTCTTTTCTTCTAGTTCCAGTTTCTGCCAGAATCTATGAATACATTAAATCAAGATATACTGTGTGACTGAAAAAGAATGTCCATATTCTATATGAATATTACAGTGAAATTGTTTTAGTAAAAATATATTTATATCCATTTTGCTATTTCATGTAGATACTACATCCTTTGAAGACGTAAGTCCACAGGGTATTAGTGATGATTCTAGTGCGGGATCAAGAGTTCATGGTAAGCAATGAACTTAACTTAGATGGTTGACATGAATGGGAGTGTCTGAGATCATGCATTGAGTCAGTGAATGTGACATTACTTCTTCCACTTCTAATCTAATACTGCATTGTCCCTTTTAAGATTATTGGTGCATGTGAGTATTCTCTTTTACCAATGTTAGTTACAAAATATGCCTATATAATCTACAGAGGTTATTTTGTTACCATTGTCATATAAGGTTCATTGTAAGAGTTGCATTTCATCATTGGGTTTTAAATTCTTATTTTGATAAAGGATAGATACTAAAAAACAAGCTTTGTACAGTATAGAGTATTTTAGATTTTTTAATTCCTATTTGAAAATCCTCTTATCAAATGAAATTATTACTAGTAACAGGTAACATGCTAAAAGAAACTTCATTAGTAAACTGCTCCATGTCACTTCCTAGTGGTGTAGCTTCCCTTGTATAAATAAGAATAAAGATGTATGAGGCTACAGAGCTAGCTCAGCAATTAAGAGTTTGCACTGCTCTTGCGGAGGACTTATATTAGGTACCCAGCATCCACACTGAGCAGTTCACAAATTACCTAGAACTCTAAATTCAGAGGAACTGGCACCCTCTTCTGGCCTCTACAGTCACTGCATTCACATGCATAAGCCCATACAGGTATACATAATTTTTAAAAAAAGAATAATATAGGGTATTAGAGCCAGCAGAATGGCTCAGCAGTTAAAGCACTTGCCATCAAGCCCAGCTTCCTGAGCTCAACTCATGGAATCCATTTAATGAAGGATGGAAAGAAAAACTCCGGAGTTGTACTCTGACCTCCCCTCATGTGCCATGGCACAGGCATTCATGTATGTCTACATGGTAGTAATTATAAATTAATTTTTTAAAACATATAGGATGTTGGGAGCTAGTAAGATGGTAAGCTAAGTAATTTGCTGCTCTTGCAAAGGAGCTGCATGTGTGTCTGGCTCCACAGCTCAGGGGTTAGAGCACTGGTCTTGCAAAGGAACTGCATTCAGTTCCCAGCACCCACATGGTGGCCCACCACCATGTACAAAACCAGTTCCAGGGGATCTGATACCCGTTTCTTATATTTGAGGGCATCGGGCACAAATATATACATACATTCAGGCAAACACTCATGCACATAAAATTAAACCTTAAAAAAAAACTAGTGAGTTCAAGGCTAGCTTGGTTTACAAGAGTGAGTTCCAGGACAGGACCCAAAGCTACAAAGAAGCTCTGTCTCGAAAAACAAAATAAAACAAAAAAACAGTTGCCAGGTGATAGTGACACACACCTTTAATCCCAGCACTCAAGAGACAGACAGGCGGATCTCTGTGAGTTCAATGCCAGCCGGGTCTACAGATCAAATTCCAGGACAGGCACCAAAGCTACAGGGAAACCCTGTCCCAAATCCCCTGCTCCCCCCCAAAAAAAAGAAATTAGTGTATGGCATGTGTGCATTTGTGTGCTGTAACAGTGCAGATGTTCACTCTTCTCCACTTAGTGGCACCTCTGAAGCATGGAGGTCCTTTGCCTATTCTGTTGTGAGTAACCTAATCTGTAGCATCTGCTGGAGACAAGGGGAACATGGAATGTTATTAAATCGAAAAAATCAAATATAAATATGATCTCTTTCCTCCTTTTTCTCCCTCCCTAATTTCAGCTGTTTTTACATAAGTGCTGAGCTCCAAAACATCTTAGTGAACTATCTAAAGATGTCTTTACTTTCCGATCTGTATGATTTACTATTCTGTGAGCATGCCCAAACTGGGACAGTATGCCTCATTGTTTCCTCAAAGCATTCTGTGATCAGAATGTAAAATCCAATGCTATCAGATGGAAGTTTCATTATACTGTCTCCTGATTTTTTCATTTAGCTTCAAGACCAGCCAGCCTTGATAGTGGCAGAACATCCACTAGCAATAGCAATAATAATGCTTCACTCCATGAAGTCAAAGGTATGCTGTAGGTAAATTTATTCCTGTGCTCCCTCTGGTTTCCAGTATTGTTTAAAAGTAAAAGGATAGAGAGTGCGGCTCAGTGGTGGAGCGCCTTGTGCGTACCATGCACAAGGCCCTGCCTGAGTTTAGCTCCAGAACCAGAGAGGGAAAAGTTGGAAATGGGATGAAGTTTCTGATGAAAACTGCAAAATCCAAATTATCTATGTTTGAAACATAGTTCTCTGGAATGCTTGCGCTTTTGCATTGCAATACAGATGTATTTCAATGTATACAAATGTAAAATCAGGAGCATTTATTTTCGTTTTGGTTCTTCATTTTCACAGATAAAATAGTCTTCACTGTAATCTTTGTTTCTGAATTATCCGTAGGCCCTTATTTTAAGTGACATTTTATGCTTGACATCTAAATGGCTGTCCTTAAATTTCTTCATGATGCATGCCCATTAAACTTGGATTACTTATATTTTAGAAATAGTGTTAGCTTACTTTGTCAACAAAATATGTACCTCTTTTTTCTTTTCTTTCTGTGTGTGTATATGTGTATGTCACATAAGAAGTATATGGATGCACACATAGCTTATATAAAGAATTATTTAAAGATTTTTTTGTGTGTTTTAATATGTATTCCAAGGTGAGGTTTTTAAATAATAGCTGGAAGCCTTGACTATTACATTTTTCTTTAAAATGTATTATTGCCTTTATAGAGTCTATTGTTGTTAATAGTTACAATAGCTATTCTTTATACTCTAGAATTATACAACTATATTGAATGCATTCTATTGCTTTTGAGTTATAACATTTGTCTTAGTCATTTTTATAATTGATTTTATGACTTTTATTACAGTGATCAGAAACATAATTTTGAGGGGAATTAAGTTTTCTTTTTATAAATCATAACTGATAATAATAGCCTCAAACTATGGAAAATTTCTTCTGATTTGAAAATATAAGAAAATCTTAGTTCTGAAAAAATAACACAACTTAGAAAATTCTTCCATGACCACCTTATTCTTTTCTGTTTTGATATTCTGTACAGTTTATTACTAATAATCAGTCATATAAAGGAATAGTGAACATTCTTAGGAGCTTTATTTTAGAACTAGTGTCCATTCTATATAATTCAACCTCAAATAAATCTTTTATGGTTATGTGGTAGCAGTATCAACAGTGGACATCAGAACCAATCAGATAATTCAGATACTGTGTGTAAAAAGAATAAGCCATGCATGGTGACATGTCTGTAATCCCAGCACTTGGGATGGTGAAACAGGAGAATTGCAAGTTCTAGGACAACGTGACCTACATACCAGGTTCCAAACCAGTGTAGGCTATCCAGTGAAACACTTTCTGAAATACTTTGTTTCTGTTTAATTTCATGTCTTTTTAACTTTCCTTCTGTGTATGTTGTTTAAATTTTTTTAGACGTTTTAGAGTTTTCATTTAGTATGAAATCTTTGAATAAGTAATTGAATTGAGACTTCATAAAGACAGAATTAAAATACTTTTTTGCATTTAAATATTTTGGGCTTTTACATTCTGAAATATTTTGAAATAGCTATTTTCTAAATTAAAAGTTTATTACTTTATTTACTCGTTTAATCTTCAGTATATTGAATGATTGTTTAATGTGAAACTCTTTTATGCTTTGACTCTAGTAATAAAAGTATATTTTTGCTCTTACAGAGCTTAGAATATTTGTCAGTTTAATAAAACCAGAAAGCAGCTGTGGCATTCAGTTCTTAGACTGAGGAACAAATAACATAGCTTACTAACCATGTCTAAATGAAGTTTAAAGTCAGTATGGCTACTGACAGAATTAGAATTCTGCTAACAAATTTTACATAGTATTACCTCCTTTCTATTATTGAAGTCTCAATACAGCATTTACTCCAAAAGCAGGTGCGGTTCATAGCCAAAGCAGGCCACAAAGCCACAGCAGTGGAGAGTTCAGTCTGCTTCATGATCATGAGGCTTGGTCCAGCAGTGGTAGCAGTCCAATCCAGTATTTGAAAAGACAGACCAGGTCAAGTCCTATGCTCCAGCACAAAATGTCTGAAACAGTAGAGAGTCGAGCACATCACAAGATTAAAGCTGGTTCTCCTGGAAGTGAAGTTGTTACCCTACAACAGTTTTTAGAAGAAAGCAACAAGCTTACCTCAATACAGGTTAGTTCACTGTATGGTGGTCTTGATTAAGATGAGTAACACTACTTAAATGCCTTGTGAATGAGCCTTAGAATTTTTTTTAATTATAGAGCACTAAGAGATAACAGCAACTCTATAGTGTATAGTTGCGTTTACCAGGCAACTCTAAACATGGCTATATTCAGTAATCTGTATTGTTTTTCCTTTCAACAGTTGAAGTCCTCAAGTCAAGAGAATCTTTTAGATGAAGTAATGAAAAGTTTGTCTGTCTCTTCTGACTTTCTGGGAAAAGACAAGCCAGTTAGCTGTACCCTGGCCAGGTCAGTAAGTGGAAAAACTCCAGGGGACTTCTATGATAGACGGACAACTAAACCTGAATTTTTGAGACCTGGTCCTCGAAAGACTGAAGATGCCTACTCCATTAGTTCTGCAGGGAAACCTACACCAAGCACTCAAGGAAAGATAAAACTAGTAAAAGAAACCTCTGTGTCAAGACAATCAAAAGATAGCAATCCTTATGCCACTTTACCTCGTGCAAGCAGTGTGATCTCTACTGCTGAAGGAACGACACGAAGGACCAGCATCCATGATTTTTTGACCAAGGACAGTAGACTGCCCGTGTCAGTTGATTCAGCACCACCTACTGCAGATAGCAGCATCACTGCAGCATCTAGTGAGTACCATTTACAGCAGTGGTCCTCGGATGTTCCAACACATGCTGGAGGGCATCAGGCCCCAGATGATTTAGCTGGAGACACATCTGAGTCTCTCTGTACCCAGGCTAGAAAATCAAAACCAGGAAGGGCACAGTTTCTAAACCAAACTTTTGCCACTAGTAAAATGTCTAACGCTGCATTTGAAATAGCACCTAACGATAGCCATGGGTCATTTACTGTGGTTCAGTCATCTCAGCCATTTCTATCCCTGAACACAGAATTGGTTAGTAACATAAGTGGGTTTCCTCCCAAGTCACTCACTAGAGTAACTGAGCAGGCCTCTGCCTCTTGGGGTAAAGCTGTACAGAAATATAAGGAACAGTTTTCTGATAGTCAGAACCCTAGTAACAGTAGCCCACAATCCTCCGCAGATAGCAACAGTCTTATAATTCCTGCATGCCTCTACCATGATGACCCTGAAGTGGCGTTATCGGTTTCAGAGGATAGTCAGACTGTTTGGTATGAATATGGTTGTGTTTGATCAAAACTGCGTAATATATTGATGTTATTTGCTAGGTTTTTATCTTTAAGATTGTTACAGAGTTCAGCTGTATAAAAAGGCATGTATATAAACATGAATGTGTAACCACACCAGAGTTTGCATGAAATAGTGATACATTGTACATTTTTGCATGCCTTTAAAAATCCAACCATACATGTTTTTGTCACTTGATAAAGATGATAAAGACTTTGATATCATGAAGCATGTCAAAATAGTTGCATGTTCTGCTGTTACCAAGAAAGCGTATCCAAGTCATTGTTTGGCTGCTCTAAAGAGTGTTCATTTATCCTTCTGCCTCCTCTCTCACTCTTTACTTCCTGAATGTGCACTTCCTGTTGCATATGTACAGTATTAATAACAAAAATGTTTTTGAAGATGTCATTTTCTTTTGTCACTTAATCATGTTATCTGTCCTGTTCTCTTTTCAATGAAATAATTAATAATTCAACTTAATTTGAACTAATTCTCATATTTACAAAACATTGTTCAAATTTTAAAAGTTGTTCATTCATAAATGTGTTATTCCTAAAATTTTCCATCAAACTTAAATGTGATTTACATAGTGACTAGGTGCATTTGTGTTATGATTCTCTTCTTGGTGTTGTTCTTTTTCTGATAAACACAATAGCTCAAGGTGACTTTTTTTGGAATCTTTTAACAAAATTTTTCCAGTTTTTTTACATATGAGTCGAAGAGAAATAAACCAAGTTACTCATTATCTTGGGATTTGTATTTTTACTTCTGTTCAGAAGCATAGCAAGGTTTTTAAAAGATGAAAAGTTCAACTTGTCGTTAATTTACTACTAAATTGAATATGTACATCCTTAATACAGACTCTTTAAAAGTTAGTACATTGTGTTAGAGTATAAGATTAGGACTTGTGAGCATAAAAATAAAACAAGTCTTCATTCTAAAATTTTTTGTATTAAAAAAAATAGTCTAGGGCTGAAGAGATGGCTCAGCAGTTGAGAGCACTGACTGCTCTTCCATAGAACCTGGGTTCAGTTCCCAGCACCCACATGGCAGCTCACAACTGTCTGTAATTCCAGTTCCAGAGGATCTAATACCTCACACAGACATACATGCAGGCAAAACGCCAATGCTCACAAAATAAAAAACAAATTTTAAAAAATGTTTCAAAACACAGTCTCCTGGTGTAGTAGTACACCTTTAACCCTGGCACTCTCGGAGGCAGAGGTGGGTGATCTCGAGTTCCAGGCCAGTCAGGGACTTTGTCTCAAAAACTCCAAACAAAAACAGATGAACGATAGTCTTTAGCTCTCCATCCCCCAAAACAAAATCCACACGAGATGGAAATAATATCTATAAAACATGGACTCCAGTTTCATACGGTTTTGTCTTTCTGTACTCATGTCACTCTAAAGCAAATCAGCTTCAGTCTCTCAGCACATTTAATATCTATAATCCTGATTGACTTATTTCTGCAGGATACGTGGCTGTCTCAGGAATGTTTGTGCAATTTTGACTCAGCTTCAATGTCACTGATAATAACTCAGTGTAGGATGGTGCCATAGGCAGCTCTGTGAGTGAAGGGGAGAGTATTGTTGCATGGTCACTGCACTGGGCTATTACTGTTAATATGGGATGAACGGGAAAAGCTTCAGTCTTTACTTAATTAAATTTGTATCTTTTGTAAAAACTTCTCCTCCTGTATATATACAGAGTCACATTATGGGTAGACCCCTTCTGTTTTTATTGCTGCCCCTGCTTTTCTTTCCTAACAGCTATTACTAAAACTAGTTCTGGTATAGGTAATCAGATGAGCACATAAAGTACTTTTATATGTTTTAGTACCACCTAATATACTTTCTGCATGAGTAGTACAAGTTACTGTGTACGATCAGTTTTTTGTCTAGTCAGTCTTAATACTTCAGATATTTTTATGCTATTATTTTCCCCTTTTTTCATAGCCTACTAATAAAATTAAATGGTAAACAGCTGATATTGATGGAGGCTATATGACAGACATGCTTTACTTAGTTTTGGCATCATAAAACTGACCTTTGCATTTTTTCCTTTAAATTGTTGCTAATTTTGTTAATTAAAATACATCTAAACTGCCAGCCTGGTCTACAAGAGCTAGTTCCAGGACAGGCTCCAAAACAATACAGAGAAACCCTGTCTCGAAAAACCAAAAAAAAAAAAAATACATCTAAACTACTTTATTAAAAATATATGGGTTATTTTATGCAAGTAAACTTAAAGAAATAATTTCTCCTTAATGTTTGTAAGGATATATCCAGCATGTTTTCAAAAACACATACACACTGCATGCGAGACAGGTAAATATCATGTCCATGTTTTTCGAGGGTTGTCTGAGATTGCAATCCTCCAGAAAACATCACATGCTAGGGAGTTAAGGTTTCATCAGTCCCCACTAGTCCATTACATAGACTACTTAGTAATCATATAGGAAGAGTGTTTCCCAAAAGATTATTATATTAGCACTAAAAACGAGGCAACTGTTAGTCAAGCATCTGCACTTACTTCCCCTGCAATAACTCCGTGACCTGTAACTGATTAGAAGATTCAGTACCCTGATTTTATAAATAATAAAACTGGTATCTATTTAAAATTCCTGGCCTGGCCCTCTGTAAATTATATCCATATGACTAGTATGATACTTGAGCAGCTTCATATATAAAATATGCCTCAGCCTTGATGTTCACAGTAAATAATACCACAATGTAGATGCTTCTACTGTTGTACTGCAAGACTTTTTTATGTAAAATTATGTGATGACCATTACAATATTACTATAAGGATATGGTAAATATACAAGCCTGTAAAACTAAAATGGGGAAAAGCTAACTCTTTTTTAATTATTTATTTATTATGTATGCAGTTTTCATCCGAGTACATGTTTGTACCCCAGGAGAAGGCATCAGATCTCATTCATTATAGATGGTTGTGAGCTGGGAATTGAACTCAGGACCTCTGGAAGAACATGCAGTGCTCTTAACCTCTGAGCCATCTCTCCAGCCCAACTCTTTTAGATTCATAAAAAATAGTTACCACATTCATAAGTGTTTTGCTATAGCTTTAAAATATAAAAGACAGGCTTCACATACTAAAGTATCTGTCAGATTAGTAATTTTCCCAGGTTCAAATTCTTCTTTGTCTGACTCAGAGCTTTTTTTTTTTTTTTTTTTTTTTTGGTTTTTCGAGACAGGGTTTCTCTGTAGCTTTGGAGGCTGGCCTGGAACTCGCTTGGTAGTCCAGACTGGTCTCGAATTCACAGAGATCCGCCTGCCTCTGCCTCCCGAGTGCTGGGATTAAAGGCGTGCGCCACCAACGCCCGGCTCAGAGAGAGCTTTTATCTTCATGAACTGTGTTATTTTAACTTTTGACTAAGTAACATGAACTGCTTTTTTCCCACAGATGTGAACAAAGTACAAGAAAGCAGAAATTCAAAAAGCAGGTCTAGGGAGCAACCAAGCTCCTAACTGAGTGACCCACTGCATGACGTGGGCCAAACGGTGAGTTTCCTGCTTGAACCATGAATGAGATTGGCCTCGTTTCTACAGACTAACTAAGTAATACGTGCACATTGCGTTAACAGATTAAATTCTGCTTGCTGGGCCTACTG